CCAGCCTCGTTCAGCAGCTCTTTGGGTTTTTTCTTCCTGCAGCAGTGAACGTGTCTGAACAACTTCAGACACAAACACGGTCCAGCAGCTTCTGATCGGAACCGAACCGCAGGAATGTGAGCGTTCAGCCGAACTGCTGATCAACCTGGACCCGATCACCGTCTGATCACTGATCAATCTGGACCCGATCACCGTCCGATCACTGATCAATCCGGACCCGATCCCCTCTCGCGCCTCGTGTTCTCCAGCAGCTCGCGCAGCGGCGGTCTGCGGTGAGAACGTGCGTTTTTGCGGCTACTCACGTGTTTCTGCGCTCAGACTGCGGAGAAGAGGGTCCTCGGTGCGGCTCCGGTGCGGCGGCTGCTCTGACTGACGGACCTCCTGCTTGGTTCGACGACAAAGCGGCAGCAGACCGGAGGAGGCGGGCGGACGGACGGCGGGGAATCCTCCGGTCCACCGTGTGGCGGAGGAGGGAACTAACGGCTCTAACCGTTAACCCCTCAGCCCCTGCTGACACACACTGTTACTGCTGTTGTTGTTGTTATTAATAACAACAATAATAACAATAATAACTTCTGTCACTATAAGATAAACACAACAAACATCACAACAAACTACAACTGAATTGATATAAAATAAATTATCTGCAACATCTTAACAAAGGTCATGTTTAAGCTCAACATTATGTTTAACTCCATATTTTTTTCTCTCACTTTAACTTTACACATAATTTAATTTTTATTTGTTTTATAAACGCCCACTAATTGTGTCTCAGTAGATGATAACTTTATTATCACTGACGTTTAAATGACTGAAATAAAAGTAGCGTAACATCAGCAGGAATGCTAAATCTACATTAGCAGTCACACTAGCTAGTTAGCCTTTTAGACAGAGAGCTTTTATTTCCGTCTGGTTAGGTTTTGCATAATGTGTTTACAGATGGAAAGATTTTAACTTCATTATTACTGATATTCAAATTGCTAATGTAAAATTAACGGGACAACAATTGCCTACACTAGTGAAGAATTCATGCTAGTTAGCTAATGTCACAGTACGCTAACCTGGCATAACGTTATTAGCCTACATAAAGTTAGCAAGTTAGCCTTCGCGACAGATCTTTTTTTTTTTTATTTACTCCTGGTTAGCCGTTAAATTAACATATTTGCCAAAACTAGCAATGAATTGATGCTAGTTAATGCAGCATAGATGCAGTAGGTTAGCATAAAGTCAGCTAGCTAGCTTTGGAGACACATAAAGCATTTTTACTGCTGCTTAACTACTTTGGTCTCTATTGGATGACGGTGAACCTACTTGGTATAAATAATACAATCACATTTGCAGAAATGATTAGTTATTGATATTTTAATCACTGACAAAAAGTAAATAATGTTGTATCATCAGTGATGTTTAGCCTGCACTTGTATATTATTCAAGCTAGCTAGGCGGCTAATGATAGCGACTGGTGCAGCAAGCCAGTATAAGATAACATTATTAGCTTAGCATAAAGTCACCCAGTTAGCCGTTGATAATAATGTGTTTTTACTGTTGGTTAGATATCATGTTTTTGTATGAGGTGATCATAATTTATCAGAACTTCAACATTGGCAAGACGACAACATTCTGTATTCTTATATCAGGGATTCACATGTAAGAAAAATAAATACGTTTATTTTTATTCCAAACTAATGGACAACCCTTCATATGACCCTTAATGTTAAACCATCAAATATGTGTTTATCCTAATAATAATAATAATAAAACCACAGCGGCTTATTTGTCCTGTTAAAAAACACAATATGACATCAGTTTACCTAAAAATGCTGGTTTTCTCCCATCAGTAAACTGTTTCCAGTGACATTTAAGGATCAGCCAGTACGGCCTCAAATAACTGTTTTCTGCATCTAGAGGTCAGTAGTAGTTTGTATTTATAGACCTTTAAGTGTATTCATATATGAAATGTTAGAAAACTTTATAACAGCAGAATAAAAGTTAAGAATCAGAGTGTGAAGGTGTTGGAGTCTCTGTGCAGAACCCTACATTTGGAATTTTATCTCAAAAATTAGATTTTTCAACTTAAATTTAAAAAAATTCTTTTCAAAAAATGTGAATTTGTGCTTGATAAGAAAGTCTTTGTCTCATGACTTTGACATTTTTTTGAATCATGACTCCTGTTTGTGGGAGGACTTTTCATTTCTGTATGATTCATTAATTCAGCCTGTTGCTCACGGTGCTCACACTGGAGTCCAGCGGCTCGGTGCTGACTGACCCGTCTGGGTGGAGGCGGTGGCGGTGCTGGAGGCGGTGGGGGGGGTAGCAGCGGTGAGGTCAGGGCCAGTCTGTGGAGGACAAAGCTGCTCCTCACAGCTCAGCACATGCAGTCAGCGGGTTCAGAACATGAGCTGCGTTCAGCCTGTAAATGGTGTCATTCTGCAGCAGGACGTCATCAGCGTCCACTCGGGCCAGAACAGAGCAGCATCCATCCAACGTCAAGGCCACGCTCAGCGCTGATGCTCTGAGCAACGCTGAGCTCAGTCCCGTCAGCGTTCAGCCACCAGAGGCTGAATCGTCCCATCACACCGACCTGCAGCACGGTACCGAGACAAACCCACGGACTGGACTCACAGCTGGAACCTCATCGGATCGCTCTGACCTTCACAAGATCCTGCTTCAAGCCCATGACTGACCTTCAGTCTCATCACTCTGACCTTTCATTTGAAGATTCTAACATTTAATCGCATCATTTTTACCTTTGTGGGGGATTTACTTTATGGTTTATAAATGACTTTATGTTCACACATCTCATGATGTTCTCTCAGAACTGACTTCATGTCTCACTCACGTTATATTTTAGTTGAATAGTTTACATTTTGTATTTAATAAATCTGACCATACCTTTTTTTTAAATCTTTTATTCCATAATGTTGACGTTCCATCTCAGTACTTTATCCTTTTACTGCATAACTTACTTTATTCACACAGCTGTTGTCTCATCATTCAGACTTTTTGAACCCTGTAGTTGCATAACTTAACATAGCTTTTAAATTTCAAACTTAAATCTTATATTTTTGTGCTTCATAGATCAAATCCTTCATCACCTCGTTTCCGCTTCTACTTCAAACTGAACTTTTTTGCCACAGCTGATCACAGAACTTTGTCTTGTTTCACCTCATAGTTTTATTTTCTCTCTTTTAATGTCGTCTTTTTAACTCATCACTGGAAAGTCGGTTCACTGCACTGATGGAAACATGCAGCATGAACCACCAGACACCATGAAACCTGAAGCTGTAAAGTCCAGTTTGAACTCTGGCTCACAGCCACTAAATGTTATAAATTGCTGATTGCACGGTTTCAAATTGTGAATTAGATATTAAACTTTCCCTCTTTCCTTCATGTGTCAGCTGCTAAAAGCTTTTCCAGGCCTCTGATTGGCCGGCGTGGCTCCAGGTGTCAGGTGTCACCACCATCAGCGTCGATATGAAAAGTAGGAACTAATTATCTGCGTCCGACTTTCTGAAAGAATCACGAAAACGTAAAAATCTTCTAAAAAAACCCAAATTATGGGATTTAACTAAAAAAACTTGAAAAGGTCCGACATCAGAACTTGAAATCCGCTGCTGAAAGTAGTTCCTACGTAAATGGTCTGTAATCTGATTACTACGTCAGAAGAAGGTCTGCAGACTGTAAAGCTTAAAAACACCTCCATTAATCCTCTTTTTAAAAGTGTGCAGATGTTTTTCTGAACATGTTCTGGGTCCAAACCATCGAGGCAACAGAACCACGAAGACTTGACGCGTCAGAACTCGAAGCAAACTCAGGAAACAAGAGTCACAAAGAAACTTTATATAGTTTTCAAGTATTCAAAACTGTTAAATAAGTACAAGATGTGTTCACATGATTTACATATTGGACAATATACGCACTGCCCATTCTTAATTCTCTTTACATGTTTCCCACTAGCCACGCAACACGCTAAAATGTCCGCAAACTATTCACATTTGTTTAGATTTTTTTTTCTCTTTTGTGTTTTGAGATGGTGACGGCGGCCTACTGGACACAGAGCACACAGACGGACACTGGAGGAGTCTACGGTGTGGGCGGGACGCAGGAGGTGGTTAGCTGCTGGTGATGTGAACTAGTAACACAACAAACGGGTTAACATTCAGTTGATCCCTCGGACCGGACCGGACCGGCCCGTCACCTGCACACGGCTAAATAATATACAGAAGGACTGACGGGAAGCAGATGGCGTCGCGTTTTCACTCTGCGCTGATCAGCCGTCGGGCGACACGTGTCAGAACGCTCTTTAAGGCACCGGATGCTGTTGGAAGTCCAGACGGGTGACGGACTAGAGGAAGAACCCGAACCGACGTGATCCAGTCCTGTGATTTGTTCTGCATCAAGGTGGAAACATCTGGAGCAGTTTGGGCCCAGACGGCAGGAGCTTCAGTCCCCAAGAAACATAAAGTCAGGAGGTCAGTGAACCGGGCCAGGTTCTGTTCACAAAGAACCGAGGAGCAGCACCTCCTCAGATGACCGAGGTCTCACCGCTTTAGGGCGACCCGAACCTTTGTGCATGTTCGGACCTCCAGAACTGTCCTCGTAGAACCTCTTTCAGGAGAAAAAAGGTTCCTGCTCCAGTTCTGGTTCTGCTGAGAGAGCTTCTCACTGATTGGTTACCCCCACAGGAAGTCAGGAGGAAACTAGAGAAACTGCTTCCTCGTCAGCCTGTTCTGGTTCCGGTCGGATCAAGCAGCTTCATCACGACATGAACTGAGAGAATAACCGAACAGAACTCGAAATTATGAAATCAAAACGAAGATCAAATGAATAATGATCAGACACAAACCCTAAAGTCTGAGGAAGAAGCCGACATGAGGCCAGAACCATGAGACAGAACCTGAACGTGGAGACGACCGGACAGAACCTTAGAACTAACAGCTGAAATTATGAGAGAAGAACTGATGAAAACATCTCCAGCGTCTCCTCCTGGGACCAGCTACAGAATCTGATCTATGAAGCTTCTAAACAGCTGAAGTGAAAAAGTTCCCAAACGTTGGTTCTGTTGGACTTTTGTCGGTGGTGACGTCAGAGAGGAGGAGCTGCTGGACGATAACCGCCTGCTGCAGCTTCTCAGGTCCTCGTTCCTCCACAGAGTCGGGTCCTGTGGTCAGAACAAAGGTTCTGGTTCCCTAAAATGCAGCAGTTCCTGCCACGAGCTGCTCAGCCGGTTCACACAGACACTGAAGGAACAATTTAGATGTTTGAAAGGAAAGCGTGCTCGTACAGGACGAGTCTGGACCGCTCACGGAGCTCAGAAACTCTTCACCTGATGTCTTCTGGGTTTCACTGATCAAACCGGTTCTGCTCTGCGCTGCAGTGATTTTAGGAAACATTCAGCATGTTCTAGGTCCAATAAGTCTGGTTCAGTTTCAGCTGCCGGCGTTTAAAGCAGCTCAGCACAGAAGCTAACTCGTGTTTCAGCAACACCAACACAAGGGTAGCTGCTCTGTGAGCTTCAGCGCCACCTGCAGGACCGACAGGAGGCTGAGAATAGCCGTGTCCCATAAACACAACCTCCAGTCAACCTGAAGCAAACGTTGAGACGCTGCTCCATAAACAGCTTCTGGTTCTGGTTGTTGTTCTGGATGTTCTGAACCAGAGGAGGAACCGGTCTGAGCCTCTCAGAGCGTCAACAGGTGACGTCTGTCCACGGTGAGCTAAACATGAAACAACACAAGGTTCAGCTGGAGGAGGGAAGCAAGACTTCGGTTTGTTCGCTAACCGCTAAAAAACCTTAAACAAACTAAAGGTGTCCGTCCACCTCTGAACTAATCATCGAACGATTCCTTCACAGCCGCTGGTTTGAAACTGAGACGGAGGCTGATGGACGCTTCCAGGAAACAGGAAGCGCATCAAGACTTTCACAAAAAGGTAGCATTTAAAAAATAAAAGGCCAAATTTAACAGGTTGCTGTTTTATGAACTTTTTAATGTGATAAATTAAAAATGCAGGTAAAAGTCTGTCATGGGAACACGGCTAGTGTCAGCGCAGGACGCGATGGAGCAAACGGGTGGTCCGGTTTAGGAGCTACACCTCCGATATGAAGAACAGGAGACATGAGAAAGTGCATGTGTGGCGCTGAAGGCCTGGACCTCCCGACGCTCTGCAGAACCCATCACTTCTAGATCTGCTCAAGGAGGTTCGTCCTCAGAGCTCCGACACCTGAAGCGTTTGTTCCGGTCGTTCCTTTAACCCGTCACCCGTCTGTTTGTGTGCTCCTGTAAAGAAAACAAGTGAAGCCGGCTACACACACGACTGTATTGTGAAGTTAATGCTGCCACCATCCCCCCGTCGCCAGGAGGAACACATGTGAGGAAACCAAAGTAGCACCACAGAGAGAGAGTACATGATTCTAGCTAGGACAGTTCAGACGGGGAAGCCTCTCCTCAGACTCTAGTGTCAACGGCGTCACTTCCACGACTCTGATTACTAAAGGTGACGGTGGAGATGATGATCTGAGGACAGCAGCCAGTCGTTCTGTACATGACTCGTGCAGCCTGGCGTGGCCTCGGTGACCCGACCACCACGTGTGCCATGTTCCCACCACAGACCAGAGCTGATTACAAAACCTCGTGTGCTTTTATTTCTGGTGAGAATGCAGCTTAATCAACGTATTTACATCAGAACGACGCTCCACGTGCACCACGCCCGTTTGGGCTGCAGCGTCCAGACCGACCGAAGCTCCAGAACCTCGCTGGGTGTCAAACGACGAGAAACGTTCTGATTCTGGCTTTTCTTTGTCAGATATCTCATTAAAACGCGACACTGGGGAGTCCGATTAACTTGACAGAGTTCTAACAGGACCGGAGCCTGTTCTTCTGGTGGAACCCGATGGAGACGGTCCGGTCGGTATTTACTGGGAGTCAAACTAACGGGTTCAGATCATGTAGAAGTAGCTGCTCTGCTCCCAGTCTGGTCTCTCATATGAGCTTCATACGCTGATTAGGATTAACTGATTAAAGCTGCGATGAATTGATCGGTTCTGTTTCGGTCCGTCTGGATTTCTTTGGTTCGCTGCGGCCCGACTCTTCTGCCCCACGCGGTGGATAAAATGTCTGGACGAATATAAAAATACTTCATGATCGCTCAGGTTTGACACGATGATTGAACTCTGCAGACCAACGGATTAATGCTGAGACAACAGGAGGAGGAGCGCCGTGCTGATGGGAACATGGCACCGGACCGGCTGATGTTAGAACACTCGGACCGACCTGCTCGCCACAAGAACTTACAAACTATGAGACAAAAATCAAAGGACCAATAAAAACCTGCCTATGAGACAGAGGGGATAGTCACCATACTGTACACTTTCTACAATATCCATGTCCATTATGAATATAACAAGTGCATTCACTGAAAGGAATAGTTCAACGTAAAACAAAGGCTCCGTTCTCACTCTGCAGACGGACCAGAGTCCTGCCATGGCGGTGGTGAGTAAACGTCGCATTAATAGAACTAAAATGACGCGTGTTGTTGACTGAAGTGAGGAACAGAGCTTTGTTTTAGGTTAACAGCACCCTCTAGCAACGTTCATTCAGAGTCTTAATTCAGCAATTTTCTTGTGTTTAAATTACTGTACTTCTTTTACATCAACACAACAGTTGATTAGCGGGTCGTGTTATTTACAGGAAGGTCCACAGCTTATGCATTGAGCCTCAGAGACTGATCCTCTCTCCTCCTGGAGGAGATATCGATGTCTATGGAGTCTTTGCCCACGATCAGTCGCAGACGCTTCGCCGGAGGAAGTGGAATGAAATCGTCTTCGAACTCGTTGTCGAAGTAGTCGTCGTCATCCTCGCCTTCCTCGTCGTCCTCGTCGGACGAAGGCTCCGCCAGGACCTTTTGGGTCCGATGTCCCCCATTCCGGGCCTCCAGACTCTGGCCCATGTCCCCGTTGTAGGACATCTGGTCCTTAGTGTGGGCTATTCTCCGAGCATCGTCCTCCCGCTTCAGCTGGATCTTCAGCTTGGTGGCGTTGCCGTGGACGACGGGGGCGAAGCCGTTGTTCAGCTTGGCGATGTAGGAGCTGCCTTTGTCCTTGTCGTGGTCTTTGCTGAACTTGATGCTGATCTTGCTGGAGGAGGCCGAGTTGACGGCGGCGGAGGCGAGGTTGGAGGAGCCGATGGCGTCCCCGGGGTCGTTGGTCTTGCTGCTGCTGCTGTCTCTCCGCCGGCGGAGCGTCAGTTTGGGGATCCCCGTGTTGTTCTCCAGGATCAGCTGAGCGTCGTATCTCGTGATGCGGCGCTTCTTCTTGCCCTTGTCTTGCGACCGGCAGCTGCTCTTGCCCTTGTCCCTGCGGAGGGACTTGCTGCCGTTGGAGACGCCGTTGTAGTCCCTGTGCCGGTCGGCGAAGCTCAGCAGCACGTTCCCACAGTCTGAGAAGCCGGCGGCGTGGCTGCCGGCGCCCGGCATGTACGGCTCACCGTACGAGTCCTCGCATTTAATCGTCCGCTCGGCCCGGAGCCGCGTCGGCCGTTTCCGCCTCGTGCGGGAGCCTCTCCGGGCGTAGCCGGCGTCTAAGGCCGGCTGCTCCAGCGCCACCCCGTGGTGGAGGTACTCCTCCATGTCGGCCGGCTCCGTCTTGATGACCACTCCTCCGGGCACCGGGCTCAGGCCGTCCATGGCGCTGGGCTCCAGCTTAACGCCAGCCGCCGTTTCCTGGGCTTTTACAAGCGTCCGTGTGGACCTGCGAGTCCTGTACGTCGAGCACTGGCTGCCCTCGCTGCTCTGCACAGCTGCCGTGTTGCCGTTCTCCTTGGCGGCGTGGCGAGTGATGCAGCCCCGCTGGCCCGGCGCCGGCTGGACCAGATCCTGACCACCGTCCTTCTCCTTCTTGACGGTGACGCCTTTACACAGCGACACCTTCGAGTCCCTGAGACCCAGCTGGCAAGTCTCTCCTTTGGCCGACGCCTTGGGCTCCGCCGCCCGCCTGCGACTCCGCAACTGGACTTTACTTAGTGAAGGCTTGGATTGGGATTTTAGTCTCTTTGGTACCCTGTTATTGTTTACACGACCTTGTTTGGAACATGAGGTAGAAAGGGCTCTGGACAAAGTCTGTCTGGTTTGAGTCCTGTTTTTATACTTCAGGCCAGATGAGGATGAAGATGATGATGTTCTTTTTCTGGCAGCTGGAGGGGAAACAGAAAGCACTGAAGATTATCAGGGTTTCAGAGAAGCAGCAGCACAGAAAACAAGAGTCCCTCAGCATCAATAATACAGAACACTGAGGATGACTCAGGGCAGGAACAAGACACAGCAGAACCCCAACATGAACCCAGTCATTGTTCATCCCGTCAGTAACAAATCTGGACCTCACTGATGTCATTAATCAACACAGGTTAAGACGTGAAGCAGCACGAGGACACGTTAAAGCTCCGGTGACTCTTACATTGATGTGTTTTTGGCATTTCCTGAGAGTCTACGTCGGTGTGGGAGCCCACAGAGTGACTGTCGGAGCTCCGGTTTCCTTCTCCGAGCTTCTTCAGCCTGTTCAGACGCTTGTCCGTCTCCCGCAACCCGTACTTGCTGTTGATCACCGGCACTTCCACTGGCAGCCCAGCTTTGGATTTGAAAGCACCAGTTCCCCGTCTGCAGAGCAAAAACATCAATAAATAAAAACGTCTACTTCTAATGGAGTTTAGTAATGAACCATATCAAGTTTAACAACATTTCTCATTGAAACAATCTCAAAACAAAAAACCTTTGCAGGAGATTCTGTAAAAAAAATAAAAATAAAAATTCTGAACTCGTCAATACAATGAAGAAGTCACGACAGACTGAGCTGAGATCAACAGTCAGAGAGCTTCAGGTGAGCTGCAGCCAGAGTTTCCTCAGAGAGACCGAGAGGAGAACCCATCCTACTGGATCAATGAATGGATGCAGCACGGATCAGAACCAGAGACCAGAGGAGCCAGCTGGTGGAGATACATTCATCTGATGGAGGAACATCTTTCTACATCTGATGGAGGAACATCTTTCTACTGATGGAGGAACATCTTTCTACATCTGATGGAGGAACATCTTTCTACATCTGATGGAGGAACATCTTTCTACTGCTGATGGTGGAACATCTTCCTACATCGGATGGTGGAACATCTTTCTACTGCTGACGACATCTACCTGGCGTCGCTAACATCTGTGTTGATTCCAGGTTTTAGACATTTTTGTAAAAGAACTAATCAAAGGAAAGCTGACGTTCTTCCCCATCTGCACCTCCTCTGACACCTTCTACAGGGGTTCATGTCGCATCCGTCGCTGTACGAACCTTTCACACGTATAGCATTCACAAAACTCATTGTTCTCCCCGAAGAATCCGTCTCCGTAGTAACACGAGATCTCCTCTCCGGGTTCGATGTCCCTCAAAACCTTCACACAGGCCGTGTCCCGTCCCGTCGACACAAACTGAAGACACACATCATTAAAGAGTTAATGGGCAGAGACTCTACAACCAGAACCGACCGACACCGAAACCTTCACGCAGCCTCACCTTGCAGTTTGGCCGACAATCTGCAAAAGACAAACAAAAGGACAAAACAAAGGCCGTTAGCATCTGAGAGCAACGTGTTCAGTGGTTGCAGTTGGAGGTGAGCACTGACGAAGAGCAGCACCGTGATTGATGAATGCAGCAGGTCCGAGCCACAGCTGTGCACAGTTCTTGCGGGTCGAGTACATGACGCTGAAGTCGTTCTCTCCGTGTCGCAGCAGCAGGTTCTCCTCGCTCTCCGACAGCTCGGCGATGCACCCGACCAGGTACTCGATCTTATCGTTCCTTTTCCTGTAACCGAACGAAGCCGACAGGTGAGTTTCAGCTAACGTTTTTTAACGTCGTGTTCTCTGGCTGCAGCTTCAACAACGTGACGATCTGCTGGTCTCAATCACTGGAGAAGCTCAAGACTCCTCTGGATGTGGAAAGTTATTGCACATTTCTTTACACTCTACTTACTGAAGCTGCAGAGAGTCTTCTGTGAGTAGAACATTGTAAAACTGCAGAGATTCTTGTTTTTTAAATGTGCAAAATATTCATATTGCACAAGTTCTTTCATGAGTGGAAATTGTGATGCTGCACAGATGTGATCATAGTTGCACAAGTTCTTCACTAAAACTACTTCTTGTATATGTAGAAGAAATCAATACTGCAGAGAGATTTCAAATGTACAAACTCTTCCTGATGCACAGGTTTGAATGTGCTGAACTCGTCGATCTCCTCACCATTCCTTCGTCGCCACAATTTTAGCTCCGTTCTGCTCGGATGAGTAGCGGTTACAAGGAAGGATCTCGAAGCCGCTGTCGGTGGCGAACATCCGCAGATAAACAAACACCTGAACAGAGCAGAAGGTCAGTCACCGGATCAGACGCTCAGGTGTCACAGCGGTACCAGAGAAACAGCGTTAAGGAAACAATGAGGTGTTTACATGCTGCTTGAAGAGCTTCTCCTGAGCCTTCGTCTTGTGCAGAAACAGGTTTCGGGACCAGTCTCCTGTCGTCAACGACCTGAACGCTTTCTCCAAGTTGTCGTGTTTCTTGAAGCGCTCGATGATCTCCTTCAGCTCCTCCTGTCTTCCCTTGATCGGTCGAAATCTGTCGAGACACATTTGAGAAACGAAACGTGAAAATCAGAAACGACACGCAGCGTGAAGCGGAAACATCCGTGTGGCCGCCGCGCCGACCTGGTGTTCATCTTGTGAGTCTGAAAGCCCAGATATGGATCGAGGATGAGGCTCGTGGTCAGATCATCGTTCTCGCAGAGCTCCTTGGCAGTCATTCCTGAGGACGGCACATAGCGCCGCTCCGCCTCCAGACTGGCTGCACTAAACCCTGTAAGACACACACAGACGGCGGTTAGAGGACGAAGCTGCTGCAGAGCCCAGAGACCCGTCGGCGCCGACCCGCTCCACTCACTGCGGCTACATCTTCGGTTTCTGGGGTGACTCTTGTTGTGTCGCAGCGACGCTCGCTGTGGATGCTGAGAGCGAGTCTGGTTCTGGCTCACCGGCTGCTCGCTGGTCAACTTGTTTCCGTGTCGTCTGCCATTTAATACCATGTTCTTGGATTCGCCCAGCCACTTCATGCCCACAAGCCCCCTGGTCCAGTTGCATTTAGTCTCCGAGATGAAGAAACGCTCTCGAGTGGGGAAGACGGGGATCCAGAGTTTGAAACCTGCAGGAGCACAAACGATAAACAAGTGAGACTCTCAGAGCTGCAACAGCTGATTGATGAACGTTAATCAATGAGCTCTCAGATTAATCCACTCTTTAGTTTGACTGATGTTTTCATAACAACAGTTCAGCTTCTTAAATGTGAATGTTTTCTAGTTTCTACGACAGTGAACTGGAGATCTTTGGGTCAGAGACAAAACAAGACGTTTGAAGAAACACTGATAGAGACCAAACAGCTGATCAATTCATCCAGAAAACAATCATCAATGAACATAACGGTCAGTTGGTGTGATGTGTTTGTAGACAAACATGTGACTTTAGCAGGAAGTCAAAAGAAACTAACATTAAGTCGATATATATTCTTTTATTTACCTTTTTAGTGCTCAAACCGACGGCTACGTTCACCGCTGACTTCCTGCTTTCTTTCCTCTTTTATAACAGTAAACTGACATTTGTCATCTTTAGGAAACACTAACCAACTTTTTTTTTTTTTTTGAACATTTTCTGACCAATTGACTAATATTTTAATTTAGTTTGAAGTGAATAAATGACACATGAATTATGAAAACAATAATTAGCAGCAGCTCCATCACGAACACTAAATTAATCTGCAGCTGTTTTGACACAATCGTTTTTATGCAAACATCACATATTTGCTGCTGTTGCTTCACAAGTGAGATGATTTGCTGGTTTTACTTTGTCGTGCATGAAGGTAAACTGGCTTCTAACCAGACACAGGATCTTCTGGCATTTTATACACTGAAGAATTATTGATAATTAGGTTTCCTGCAGGTCTGGAATCACACATGGACCTTCTGAACATGAACAGGAGGTCACTCTGCAGCTCTTCCTCATTCACGCTTAAATACTGCACATTATTCTAAGAAAATTAATCTAAAGCTCTTGTGATTTCAAGACACGAAGTCAAATAAGATAGTTTATTAAACGTCTGAGCTTCAGACCGATGAGCAGACGGATCAATACGTTTGAACACTGAGCTGTCGGAGGATTAGTGGGTGTTATTCACTGGTTATTGAAATGTATGACACTAAATGAACAACCAGCCAGAGTTCACTGAGTTTGAGCTAAAGCCTGAACAACACACCCAGAATATCTGCTCACACCAGCTTCTCCAAACCGAACAACGGCAGCCACACAAAGCTGGTTATCAGCCGGTTCAGGCCCAAACATCAGCAACAGCTTCATCAGTATCTCTGTCATGTGTATCATGTATAATAAGAACAAATATAAAAACATCCTTCAAACTAATAAGAAGTCTCACTGCAGCTCTCACAGAATCAACAAGTGGCTCCACAAAGACCTTCAGCAAAACAAAACTGCTTTTAAATTACTTTCAGTTCACAGGAAACACTAAAAGAAATCCAGAAAGCCCTGAGCTCCCTCCTCTGAGAACCTCTTCCATCTGCTCATCAGGAACAGAAACGAATAAACCTGTTCTGGTATCTCGAACATAACCTGCAGGTCAGGTGTGCAGCATCAGTTACCATGGCGATGATCCCCGTTAAGAAGCCGTCCTGAAAACACACAGTTTGACCTCAAGTTACCTCCCAGCTCCACAGCCCAGACCTCTGGAGTCAGGTCACATCGAACACTCGATAAATGAGGCAGCAGCTTTGCCCTCTGAACAACCAGACCGACAAGACGGCGCCATTTATCAGCCAGAAGCCTTCAGACCAGAAACAGTCGTTGAGCTGCTCACAATATGTCCCATCTGGAAGAACGCCACGTTTGATCAACATCACTACAATCAGTGAAAAATCAACCGCATACACGAATCAGATTATAGAAAAAAACAAACGTGATGGCATCAATGGCTCAACAGTCAGAGAGCTTCAGGTGAGCTGCAGCCAGTGTTTCCTCAGAGAGACTGAGAGGAGAACCCAGCCTACTGGATCAATGAATAGATGCAGCACGGATCAGAACCAGAGAAGAGAGGAGCCACTTGGTGGAGATACTTTCATCTGATGGTGGAACATCTTTCTACATCTGATGAGCAGAGCAGAGGGTAAACAGCTGGAGACATGGAGATAGTTCAACATCTGCAGGACGAGGAGACGACTTTAGCTCCAGGGTTTACATTTTTGTAAATTAATGTATTGTTTTCTTTTTTTTCAGCATTCTGTGTCAAACTGCACAGAAGAAACAACAAAAAACGAGACACAAAACATCAAACAGGAAGCAACAAGCGACCACAAAGAGACATAACACGACCACAACACGACACAAAACAACAGAACGGACGCTAAACTATTTCTCAGAGTTTGTAGATGCTGTAAACAGTTCAATATGTACAGTACGTGGAACCTTCTAATTCTTATAGTTCCTGGAAATCACTTTTATTCTACGTCTCGTTCAACAAATTCCCCAAAATAAAACATCTGCTCCAACCAGACTGTGTAAACAAGTATAGACCCTGCACAACCACAGAGACACCAGCCACTGAGCTACAACCACGAGGTCCTGAGGACACATTCAGGGACTTTCAGCTGAACTGCAGGCAGTGTTTCCACAGAGCAGAGAGGAGACACGACTGTAAACTAATTAATAGTTCAGTGTTTATAGCATGTGGAGCTCCATGTGTTCCAGTGGTGCTAACATCTGTGGACACGTCACACATGTTGATTCCAGGTTTTTACATGTTTGTACAATAATATGATTTTTTCTCCCTTTTTAAATGATCTGTGTCGCTCTAACGGTGTCTCCTCTTTCATGTTGTTCTGTGTCCAAGCAGCTCCAGGACTTGATATCTCGCAGTGAGGAAAAACGAGCCAGACACAAAGAAAAAAGCGTCCAGAAGCAGCTGCTGGGTTCAGAGGGTGAAGCCAGGTGAGAGCCCAGGTGTGACAGGTGTTCAGGGCTGCAGGTCTCAGGTTCACAGCACAGCAGCGTTAGTTTTAACTGATCCTGCAGCGCCGCTCAGTGGTAACCTCAAATACTGCACCGGCTTACTGTCAAGTGCAACATAAACGTCTTTGGTACCTTCATCCATCCACACCGATACCGTGCAGCTCCGTGCATTAAAGCAGCACACAACCCACCGCCACAGTGATCCGCTTTGACGCGCCGTGGCTCCGTGTCTGTGTCCCGCAGAGCCTCGGCAGCATTAGCGTGGACCACAACCTGCACGTTTAGCCCAGCAGCTAGCTACAATAAAAACACGGCAGCACGGAGGGATCGGCCGTGGAAACCCGGAAGGCCACACCGACATCCGAGGCCGACACAGCTCCCAACACAGCCCGTATTGTTTGCTAACAGCCGCCGTCCCTCCACCCGTCACCCCCGGTGCTAGCATCGAGCTACCCGCGGAGGGCGACGCCGGGGCGGCCAGCCTGCAGCACGCAGCGGCCGCCAGCACCGAGCACACGACCCCCAGAAACACAACAGCTGAACACAAAGACCCACACCGGGAGTCACCGGGAGGGGGGCATTTACCGACTCCATCACAGCCGTTAACTCCACATCACGAGCGGCGTCGACGGTCTCCTTTTAGCATCCGGGCCGCTAACAGCCAGCACATGAAAGCTAACGCCGTCCATTTAAACGTGTTTGCTGCCGTGGAGGCTCCGGATCTCTGCGGATTTAAAGCTGCTCTTCCCACTAGTTGTTGTTAGCTGCCGTCAAACTTCACTCCAGCGAGCTGCTAACTTAGCACGACGCCGAAGTTCGCTTGTGGCCGGAGGCTTCCGAGGCTGCAGTTAAGGGGAAAGTTAAGGGAGACTTAACCTCCAGCACTGAGGGGCTGATTCTCCTCAGTTTGTTTTAGCCACATGTTAATGGTGTAAAACCATGTTAGGCATTTTAGCTAAAGCCCCAATGCTGTTGGAAATCCACTTTCACAATCGCAAGATCTTTATATATGTGTTAGAATGCAAAAAAAAAGTTTGATTTTGTTCCCCATGTAGACAACATCACAGCTCCAGACCTAAACCATGACATCCTGATGGTGCCAGACCCCACAGAGGCTCTGTTTCTCATGTAAATCACATCAGACCCAGTCCACGTCAAAAAGCACCTCGTATAACTTGGTCAAACCTGGACCAGATCATCCTACCAGCCTCTTCGACTCGATCCAGTCCAGATCTGACCCAACCAAGGTCTTCAAAACAGTCAATGAAGCTGTCTCTTTAGCGCATTGCTTGGAACCATATAAAGATTAAACAGATCAGAAAGTGTGTTTTCAAAACACTTTAATCTCTGTAAAGCAACCTAATCCTGATTGAACAAGTTTATATACGCCTACTTTAGGTCTGGACCTGGTCTAGGTGTTCAGGAAGGTGCAAAACTCTCCCTGTAGAGTACTGCCCCACATGGAATACCGGTTTAGCAGATCCAAACCTGCCTGAAAGCCTCCAAGACCATCTAGTCCTGACTTGACCTGTTAAAGTGAGACGCTTTTAGACCTGCTCTGACTTGGATAAGATGAAATGTAGATATCTCACATCTTTTGCATTTTAATCCATGCAATAAAGGTTTCAAAAATGTGAGAAAGAGTTCCAGTCAGTTGTGCAGTTTTATCTACATTTTTAACGCAGTTTTGCATCTTTAAAATGTGGAAATAAAGTTAAGTCTCCCTTAACGTCTCCCTTAACTGTCGAATCGGAAGCTACGAATCAGAAGCTAACTTCAGCATCGTTATCTTAGCTTCCCCGTCAGCAAGCACAGTCAATAAAATACAGTTATCACGTCTCCCACCAGCGACATAACGTTGACTTGACAACAGTAAAATGTTCGATGTTGACGGTGAACGATGAGCTGCACACATGTCCCGTCAACGGAGCCACCTACCAGCAAACCACTGGAGCACAGCAGCAGCGGCTAACGCAGCTAGCATCAACTGCGTTAGCTCAGGTTGTTTGATGTGGGAGCCATTAGCAGCCCGACGGAGGAAATGTGTCGTTTGTAGAAGAATTAAAAGTTAGTTTGTGTGTGTTGTGTCCTCCCAGACACGCTGTGCTGCCGCTACCGGAGCAGGTGAGCCCGGAGCGGCCCGGTGCAGGTGATGTTATTTATCCTGACGGCTAACAGTTAAATAGCAGCTCAGAGCGTTTCACGCGTTCAAAGCGTTAAATGTCCGCGACTCGCCGACACACACACCGCAGCCAGAGTCGACACTCACCGGCTTATTCAGTCACACAGAACCGCGGTTCTTCTCATGGATCCAGATCTGACTCCCTGAAAACGAAAATATCACAGCAAACACATTTTTTTAGAAATTAACATTAAAATTCAAGATGGCGGCCTAGCACCGGGGAGAGAGAGAGAAAGGCGCAGCACCGCCGTCCGACACAAAGTAGATCCTCCAAATACGCCACCGATCCGGTCCACCGGGGCCGAACCAGGGGCAGCACCTCCGGGTTCCGAGAGGAACGAAGAAAAACAACACAGTCGGTGACTTTTTGTGTCTGTTTCCTCAAAGAATGTCGAAAATCGTTCTGTTGGTTTGTGGCAGTAATTGTCGGATGTACACAAAAGTAGTGCTGCATAAACAAACCTCTTTACGCTTCCTAAAGATCCAGCGGTGGAGAACCCCGGTTCTACTGCCGTTCTAAGGAGAACCCCGGTTCTACTGGAGAACCAAGGTGTTGTTAGAGAAACCCTGTTCTACTGCTGTTCTAAGGAGAACCCCTGTTCTACTGGAGAACCAAGGTTTTATTGGAGAACCCTGGTTCCACTGCTGTTCTAAGGAGAACCGCAGTTCTACCCTAACCCTGCTCTGTAGAGACCCACAGCTGCAGAACCAAACTAGAAGATTTTAACTTTGGTCACAACCCCGGTTCTGCCTCCAGGATCCAGCGGTCGCAGCAGATATGGTTCTGTTGCTGTTCTATGAGGAACCACGGCTGCAGAACCAGAACTTCAGTCCACAAACACACACAGCTCATTTTACTGTGAATGAGGTTCTTTAACGGACCGTTCCACTCAAACACTGAACCAATGTGAAGCTAACCGCAGCAGTTAGCTTAGCTTAGCATAAAGACTGGAAATGTTTGCATCATATATTTTTAAGAAGTCGGTTTTAATTAGTTTTAGCTTTTGAAACTTTCATGTTTCCAGTTTTATTTGTTTAATTTGCCTTTTATTGTATTTTATAATATTCTGTGTTTTTATTAATAAATGAACTTTTATGCTTTGATTCTCCTTCAACAGTTTCATTTCATTTTGGTGTTTAATCACCTGGACTTTATTGACTGTGTCATTTAAGTTCATTTCAGCTTCATTATTTAAATTTAATTTAGTTCTGTTTAGTGGATGGAGGTGATACAGAACCGGTCCGTTGGTTCTGTGTGAGGTCAGCTGATGTCTGAATATATTATCAACCAATTAATCAATCAATCAATCAGTGCAGTGTTTGTTTGTCCCTAGGGGAAAACAACAACAACAACAATCCAACATTCAGCAAATACAAACAAACTAAAGCTGCAGTGAGACAACAACACATTTATGGTTCTGGACACTTTATTCTGTCACTGGTCTGCTCAGTAGAACCGAGGTTTCCTGACAGCAGACTTTATATTTACTGACACATGCAGACTGGACTGATTCAATATTAGAACCTTCTTGACTTTAAATATTCGATGGACTGAACCAGCAGAACTCAGTCTGTCTGGTGTCGCTGGTCCCTCGGCGGCGACCCGGTGCTTGGAGGTGAAGCATTCGGACTCTGTGGTTGTTGAACAGGCTGATAAGGAGCTCTGCTGTCCTGGAGCGAAGCCCAGAACCAGCGCTGAGCTGAACTCGGTGGGCGTTCGTGTTCCTCCCAGAGTTTACAGCGAGTGGGCTGCAGCTGCTATGGAAACCACCTAAATACCTTTTCCTCCCAACAAACCCTGACCTGCTCTCTGGGAGTCACCGAGCTGCGAGCGGAGCCGCGAGTCCAGCAGCCGGAGTTTAATATTCATCAGCAACAACCAGAATATATCGACTTTAGCGAACGTGTTCCAGTCCAGAGGTGCTTCACACACATCCTTCTACAACACTGGCTCAGTTCAGTTCTACATCGAGCTGGAAAACCGGCCCGAAGCTTTCAGCTGATGTTTACAAAATCTGATGTCAGTCAGAAAACTGCTGTTTGAAAAAAACAGAATCCAAACAGGACAAAAGTCAGACATCAGCAAAGAAATGAAATCACAGCATCATCAACACTAAAATCAGAAAAACAGCTTCACTGATGTGGCCGTTTTCAATCATGAGGGTTTACAAAGTGTTCTAAGAGAACAGAACAGAAATACTTTATTGATCCCAGACCTGGGAAACTATTGCGCTACAATCACAACAACAAAGGGCTAAAGTTAAATACTATTAGAAAACAAAAATTATTTTAATTCAAGAGACGAAGCAGGAAACTCAGAAGGCAACACAACTAATGTAAAAAAAAAAAAAGGCGGAAAAATGCAAAACACAACATACATAAACAAAAATGTACCTAAATAATTTAAATATTAAAGCTATGATGCTACAATATCACGTAAAATACAAACAACAAGTACAGAATGAGCTGTGAAGTACAAATACTGTGAAGTCCATCAGACCTCCTCACTTCATTCTGATTATTTTCCTCTAATGTGATTTTTTCTTGCCAATAAACCTCCAAGTGAAGAACAAGACGACTTTTCTTTCCGGACTTTTTTCTCTTTTTTGAACACTCAGCAGTTTGTGGCACCAGCTCACTGATAATAATAATAATAATAATAATAATAATAATAATGATGATCAACCTGAAACAGAAGAAACGCTGTCAGGGAGCTTTTCTTTCCTTTTTTCTATTTTCCTATTTATTCTTTTTTTTCAGTTCTATTTATTTTAAATGGGTGTTACTAATACAAGGCATTCACACTCCAACCATGTCTGTTGGTGTAAATATCGATTTATGTCTTTATTGTTAATAAAGAAAAAAGATGTCAACAATCTTTTTCTCCTTTTTTACATGTTTTCCCCACTTTTCATTTGCCTCTTTTTTTGCTTTAATAAACGTTTGTGGAGGCTGTTTTTCTTGTTTTTTGTCTTCTTTATCTGGTGTGCTAAATGAAAAATACTTTATTTATCCCAGAAGGGAAATTAAATTTAAATTCAAACTAAACACACATCCTCACCAGTTTGTGGTGATAAAGCACCGGTTAGTTGTGAACCATAAAGAAGAAGTTATTATTTTCAGCTTCTATTTTCTTGTTGCTGTTGTTTATTAAAATATCTTTATTTTGCCTTCTTTGATGGCTGTTGCGCAGACAGACACTCTGAGCCACCAGCTGGTGGCGCTAAAGCACCAAGTCTCTGTTTACCAACTGACAGAAACGGGCCAATTAAACAGAAGAAGACAACGGAGGGCTTTTCTCATCTCCTTTGTGTTTGTTTGCTGGTATTTAAACATTATTTTCCTGATGTGTTTCCTCTTCCTAAACCACCGCAGTACCTGCACTGACTGACCACAGACCGGCGGATCCACCAGCAGGGGGCGCTGATGACGCAGCGCTCCAACCGCCAGAAACCTCCGAGGAGGAGAAGAAGAAGAAGCGTCGCGGGGCTCGTGGCTGTTGAAGCTTCGCGGGAAACGTCAAACACAAACCAGCGCTGATGGCCTCACGTGCAGCTTCGCCTCAACTCTAACGGACCTCACCTGTCGGACACACACCTGGCCGCTGTGCGCGCGCACGCTGCTACATCTCTCACCAGACTGCACGCGCTCTAACGTTAGCTAGCTGCTCTGTAGCTCCAGGCTAACGGGGCGCTAATCGGCTAGCTTCGCACTAACCTGCGCTGCCCGGTTTTACCCGAGAACCAGCCGCTCTGAGGACCCGTTGGCCCGGACAGAGATGGCGGAGAGACCCGAAGACCTGAACCTGCCCAACGCCGTCATCACCCGGATCATCAAGGAGGCGGTGAGTCCGAGCACCGGCACCGAGCCCCGGCTCGTGTTAGCACGACCCGGTCACCGAGCTAACCGTTACGTTTTCTACAAGTCAGCTTAACCAGCGAGGTTTGGAAAGTCCACAGGGTCGCTTCAGACCCCAGAACGCGTCTCTGTGGTCCTCAGAGGGTCCTCTAACGGTCCGGGTCGGAACATAGTCCAGCAGCTGATTCGTTTTAAAGAGTTTTTACTCGTTTCACGAGCTGCGCTTTGGATTCAGAACCAAAATAAAGATGGCGGTCAACAGGAAGCAGGTGACGTCAGTTATCATTCACCTCCACGCGCAGCATCAACAGTTTACAGAGTGTTTCAATCACATGTGATCGATCATTTAAACTGATCAGTAGATTCAGAGACCTCAGTGCTCAGAACAGGACTCAGTTACTGGTGAGAACATTCATCAGTTCAGTAACATTAACTAAAATAAAAGCAGTACAGGTTTTAGGCCCGGTTCTGTCAGAACATGTGGCTGTAAGTTCATGAACTGATCTGGAGACAGTTTGGTCTCCAAAGGATCAATTCTGAAAAGAATTGGGCGAGTAATAGAGAAACAAAGAAATCAGTAGTTGCACCATCAGAAGTTTTGGTTGAAGCTCAGCAGTGAGATTCTCAGTCAGTCCATCATCCTGCCGGCTGATCGGAGAATAGATCGTTGTCCCTTCAGGGCTGAGACGTGATGAGAAGCTTCCACAGATCAGCGTCAGGAATAAATTCATTTTATTGTTGTTGATATGAAGCATGTGGTCTGATCGACACACAGCTGATTCACTTAATGGGGTTTTAGAAATGATCCAGAATATTATTCAACACAAGTTCAATGTTTTTATAAAGAGTCTAAAGAAACTTTATCATGTTGGTTAATGACTTGTTTGTGTGTCTGTTGTGCGTCTTCCTCCTCCTCCTCCTCCTCCTCCTCCTCCTCCTGCAGCTCCCAGACGGGGTGAACGTGTCCAAGGAGGCGAGGAGAGCCATCTCTCAGGCAGCCAGCGTGTTCGTCCTGTACGCCACCTCCTGGTGAGAACAGAAACCACTTCACACCACCAGCAGGACTCAGTCCAGTGTCTGGACTCCACCCAGAGCCGGACGTCAAACTGTCCACGAGTTAAAGCATTAACAGCATTAGCAGCATGAGTTAGAGCATTAACAGTCGTGTGTTGGTCTGTTTCAGTGCCAATAATTTTGCCATGAAGGCCAAAAGGAAAACTCTGAATGCCGGCGACGTGCTGGCGGCGATGGAGGAGATGGAGTTCGAACGGTTCCTGGAGCCGCTCAGAGAAGCTCTGGAAGGTGAGAAGACGTCGGTTCTGCTGTGGTCCAGTTAGTGTGTCTGCCCGTCGGACTGATGTAGACAGTCAGAGAAACGACGACAGAACTGGGCAACAGCCTCGAACTCATCAGAGCAGATTTCTGCATGTTTTCAGTCTAAATAAAAGGAATCAACAATGATCATCAGACTGCATCACAGATCTTCTGTCTGACCAATCACCTTCAGACTTTGGCTTTGGCAGTTAGTTTAAAAGTTAGTCAGAAGTTTTCAGAGCAGAGAGCAGATGCCCCTCATTTGCATAAATCAGCATATAATTTGCATAAAGTAGCCTCAACTTTATGCAGATGAGGAGCGAGCAACACAACGCTGTATCTCTGGAAACGTGACGCTACCAGCAGGGCTGCTTACATAGACGTGAATAAGAAACGTTAAAGTGGACACGAACCACAAGAGGCTCCACCTGGTGGAGCAGCCAGGTATTGCAGCTCATCTAGAAAATGTAGTGTGTTTTATGGACCTAAATGGTATCAGTTTGATGCTCTTTGTCATCAGATATTAAATAACCAGATAACTGAAGTGTGTGTATTCAACTGTCGTTTAACCGCATAATGAGCAGAACATTTAGACGTTGAAGTGTTTAAAAGTTCATTATTAACACTGTTGTTGTAGCTGCTGAGTGTCTGAACCTAAAGACAAATGTGTTTGTGTTCAGTGTACAAAAAGGGCCAGAAGGGGAAGAAGGAGGTTTCAGAGCAGAAACGCAAAGACAAAGAGAAGAAGGTCGACTCGGAGAACGACAAGAGCCGAGAGGAGGAGGACGAGGAGGAGGACGAGGAGCGCATGGAGGAGGAGGCTGAAGGTGAAGCTGAGGAGGAGGAGGTGGAGAACTGAGGACGAGTCACAGCCGCCTCCGTCAGCAGCGTGGTGCGTTCAGGCGCCGCCCGGTCACCACAGCGCTGCTCCTGGCTCAGTGAGGAGGTCGTCTTCCAGCCCAAAGCACAGCGACGCCAACGTCCAAATCATCACCGCCCGACATCTGTCCGTTAATCCACACAAACACTGTTCGGTTCAACAGAAGGCTGCAGCAACGATAACAGGTCAAAAGTTTCAGAAGCTCTCGGATGTGATGAACGGAGCTCATAGACGGTAAACTCAAGGTTGGTTGGACTTGGATCCGACAGAATATCTTGTTTTAGGCTTTAGAGACCAAACTGTCGATTAACGCTGGAAATAATCTGCAGGTTGATCAATACTGGAAACAAGCAGCCTGCAGCAGTCGCTGAACACCTGAGAAACACTCGGACTGAAAAATAGAAACGTGAACAAAAGAAGTTTAAAAAGTCGAACACGTTGGATTAAAAATGGGCTCAAATTAAACCTGAAGCTTCTTCAGAGAACAGAGAGCTGCCATCGGATGCTGGTTTTGGTAGAAACTCGTTTCCCTCAGACGTAGATTTGGACTCTTAGTTACCGAGTTCATGAACAGAACTTCATTCCCAGTGAAACTAGCTGCACTAGCGAACCGCTTTGTTCCTTTTCCGATCAGTTTTTGACCCATTTGTACTTTTGTAGACTTGTATATGACTGGCCCAGATTTTCAATAAATATTTTGTATAAAAACTAAACGTGTTGTGAATCTGATTCATCTCCATGTTACAGTAAAGCCTAAAACATTTAGCAAACTTTGGATTATTGGGAGTTTTTGTGAGACTAATAAGCTTCTGACTGTAAATAAACTGGACGTCAGTGATTCATTTGAATGTTTTTCTTAAAACTCTGTGTTCTAAAGGATTCATCACCGTTAGCAGAGAACGCAGCTTCTGGACGATATTCTAAATGTTCCTGCTGATTTCTAGATTGTTCTACAGCACTGAGAACTGATGCTGTCATTCTCTCCTTACAAGTCAGTAACTAGTTATAATCAACTAAAAAGTGCTCTTATATGCAAATGAGTGCATATTTAATGAGATGAAGCCTCACTTGCATATTTAGATTAAATTTCAGGAAACCAGCTGTATAAAAAAAGTCTTTATGGAAGTTATCAGCTACGGAACCCCGGAAGGGACACAAAGAAGAAAAAAAAACACGAAGAGGACAAAAAAAAGAAAGTATCTTTTGCGAGATCTCAAGATTTTCTCCGGCTCGCGCTAAACCACAGGTAACTCCAGTCCAGCAGGTGGCGGTAAAGCACCTGAACGTTGGATGGCAACCAGAAGAAAACTACCGTCTAAATATTTGTGGGTCTTTTTGGCAGTCTGGAGAAACAGGAGAGGACGCCCACCTGTACGAGTTTTATTTTGATATTGGCCTAAAATATAAAGACATCCAGGCAGTAAGACGTAAAGTTTTCACAAAACAGGATTGGTGTGACTTTCCTGAGAAAGTCCAGTGAGATCTTGCAAAAGATATTTTCCATTTTATTTTTTTGCCCTTTCCGGGCCGTAATCAGCCGTTTGCAGTAAAACCAGGTAACTTCATAAAAATGAGTTTTTCCATTCTCCAAGCCAGAAGTCTTCAGCTCCTACATTCACACTTTCATTCCTGTTTGTTCTGCAGGTTTTATAGAAGGTTTAATTCCTGAAGACAGCATTTTGTGATTTATGACGATGATAAATGTCCAAACTTTGGATTTAATGTCACAAGACGAATGCTGAAGCTGGTTTTATGTGACGTTTTTATTTCTATTCTGACTAATTAGTGCATTTTAAATTAGAATTCATAATTTAAACATTTAAAACCTGTAACTCATTTATTGTTTTATGCAGTTAACTTACTTTACTGTGGAATTATATTTTAACATGTTTATATTTTACTCCTTTTAAAACATCTTACCATCTTCTGCCTTTTGTAATCAACCAAACTGACATTTTCAGGAATTTTATTCTAATTTTCAATATATACACACAAAGTTTTCTTGTTTTTGTAAGTTTCTCTTCTTGCAGCTCCAGTTAAACTGAACCTCCTGAAGTCTTTCTGCAGATTAAACATTAAACCTCTGAGCTGCTTCATTCATTCAATAAAAACAAGGACAGGTTTCTGTTTTTCTCCTCTTTATTGGCGTCCTGTTCAGTCAGACGGGCACTCCACTTTGCCGCTGTTGATGTCATCGATGACATCGTGGGGGTGGCGCCCGTCGATGGTGCAGCCGACGGACTGAGCGGTTCCCAGGATCTCCTTGATGGTTCCTGAACAAACAAGACATCAGTTAAAACGAGACAGGAGCAATAAAAGCCCAGAGACTGCTGCAGGCTAAACTGAGCTAACACTGCCTGAAACCACCGTTAGCTTAGCAACACTGATGCTAAACAACAACACTGCAGCAGACTGGTGCAGATTCATCTAAACTTTACATCTGAGGTCTGCATTTCCTCTCCAACATCTTATAGTTGCTGCAGGATGAACTTGTTCCGGACTTTTCGGCACAGAGCGGCCCATCGGCGCGAGCAGCTCTGTTTCCTAAAGCCGGGTCGCTCTGAGCCTCCACTGGATTACACTCAGTCACCGTTGGACAGGCGTAGTGGCGGGAGGCTGAAGGAACGGCCAGGAAGTGACCAAACATGCGTCCAGGTCTTACCGGAGAGCTCCCTGGCGATGGAGCGAGGCCTCATGACGCGGGCGATGCCGACGATCTCGTCGAAGGTCACGCTGCCGCTGTGCTTAACTGGAAGAGAAGGAAACAGGATGAAGTGTGGCGGCGGTGTGCTGCGTTCAGCCTGATGGAGTCCAGTTCAGAGTCACTCACTGTTCTTGACCTTCTTCCTGTCACGGGGAGGCTCCTTCAGAGCCTTGATGATCAGAGCTGAGGCAGAAGGAACCACCTCGATCTGGAACACAGAAGGAGATCAGATCTGGTTCAGATCAGCAGCAGCAAAGAGACAATCTGATGAATCTGATGTGGTGCGTTCAGGGCCCGTGGGTCTACGTACCGCTGCCTGCCTGTTCTGGATGGTCAGCTTCACGGTGATCCTCAGGCCCTTCCAGTCGCCGGTGGCCTTCGCGATGTCGTCACCCACCTTCTTGGGAGACTGAAGACAAAAGAAAACAAAGTTAGTTTCAAAGCAGCCGGCGGCGGCGAGTTCAGGTCACGTCACAGCTCCGGGTTGTTCCGGACTTTTCGGCACAGAGCGGCCCATCAGCGCGAGCAGCTCTGTTTCCTAAAGCCGGGTCGCTCTGAGCCTCCACTGGATTACACTCAGTCACCCGCAGACAGGCGTAGTGGCGGGAGGCTGCTCGCTTTAACAGAACCAGAACTCACCAGACCCAGAGGTCCGATTGCTGTCACACAACAGAACCAGAAGGTCCGATCGCTTTCACACAACAGAACCAGGACTCACCAGACCCAGAGGTCCGATCTTGGGGGCCAAAGCTGAGGTGGCGCCGACTTCTCCTCCTGTGCACCTCATGTACACTGAAAGACAAACGGAGGCTTCGTTCAGACAAACAGCTCGACAGGTAAACGACAGGTAAACAGGTAAACAAGAGGTAAACACTCATGATGTGCAGACAGACGCCACAGAACCATTAAAGCGAAATTACAATCAGGCTGCTGTTTGACTCTAACGTCACCACAGCAGCCAAACAACGAAGCACAAACATTCAGAAATAATTACTGACATTCATCAAACACTGTCCAATAATTTGAAACTAATTAATCACAACCCAATGATGGAACCAATTAATTATAAACGAGCAGTGGATCTTTAACATTTGTTCATGGAAACACTTTGAAGTCATAGTTCAACCTGCTGAAGGTCAGAACACCTTCAGACATTCAAGGCTTCATTCACCTGAAAACAACTCTGAGGCTCATTAAAGCTGCAACTGATGAATGAAAATATTAATTAATCTGCAGATTGTTTTCTGAAATCATTAATTAGCCGTTTGGTCTGTGAAATGACAGTTTACTGCCATGGAGGAGAGAAACCAGGACGTTTTATTTAAGCTTTCTGCCTCAAACCAATCAATCCATTCGATACCTGGTCATTAGTGTTTGACAACTAATCAATTAGTCTTCAGCTCTTGTGCTCGTCTAGTTTTTCCCAACAGACCAACACCTGAATAAAGATAAATTACCTCCCACATGTTACTGAACAGTCCCATTAACCAGCTAACTGTTGTAGAGCTTAGATTCAAACTCTGGACCCAGAAACGGTTAAATCTACAGATTATTGGATTATATGTGGATCAGAACACATGGCTGCTTTTATTTTCATGTCTGCTCACATCCAACCTGTTTCACTGATTCTTTGTACTTCCAGTCAGAGTTCCTTAAATTCAAATGTCAGTGACACCTTTAGTCAACTTATTAAATCACTATTTGGAGGTTTAATTAAAAGCACCCACAGATTCTACAGCTGACTTCAATCCTTCAGATTTATTAAACTAAAATAAATATTCGCTGTGGTCCGCTTGCCACAGAAGTTTAAAAAACTACCTCAGTCACTGATCTGTTATCCCTCATTAACCGCGTGTTAATGACCTAATTAAGAGACATCCCCACACTTATGCACATTAAGTCATTTATCAAAAGGCAACCGTACAAATATCTGATCAGAGGAAGAAACTAAACGTGGACCATCTTTCTTCTGATGTTTGGCTCAGAAGTCACTGACAAGCTAACATCTGATTTACCTGCTTCAGATTTATTATACCTTTATTTCTAAAAATCCAAATATTTCACCTCCAAACTGACCTCCTCTTCAGTTCTTAGGGTCACTATAATATATAATAGGGTTATAATAATAACTAATACTGGGCTGAAATATCATCACAGCCTTAATTTTTAATGACCAGAACATCTGCTGTCACCAGTTAAGGCTTAAAAATAAACTAAAGAGCAACAACAACAAACTAAACCATCTAAACTCTGTGATGCAGCCATTTAACCATCTGTCAGCTACCGAGACATAAGAAATCATAAAAACGGTTAATAAAGTCCCCACTGCAGCTTCATGAAGGTCAATATTTTGTTTTCTTTGAGGAAAAACTGATCCACATTTTTCACCTTTTTCTGGAACTTTAGGGAGCAAAACATTGTGTTGACAGTAGTTTTAAAATAATTCATTGATAACTGATCCTGTGATGCCATTATGCCTGTTCTGCAAATTAGTTCACTTAAATATAAATAAACGTAGAATAAATAAATACCTCCACATGTTTGGCCTCCATTAAGTCATTAAATCGACAGTAAACCTGCTGAGGTTTAAATTCAGAAGCTTAAAAAAATGATTAAATGCTGCGACTCACACATAAACAACAACAAACGTTCGCACGAAAATAAACTAATTTCTATAATATCTATAAACGTATTTACCAAACTGTTAGCAGTGTAAACCTCCTGAATACTAAAACCTGATTTATTCTGATGCTAACTGCCCGCAGCTAACGTTAGCCACATTAGCTGCTAACGAACTTCTCCACGTGCAGCCACTCGGTTCCGTCCCACATTTATCCCCTCACCAGAATTAAACAGTCACATTTCATCCATTTTACACACTAAAGCCGACAAGCACCAAACACACAATCTGTTCTGCTCTTTTCGTCGAGTTTCGTGTCCCGTTTTTACCGTTTTTCTGCGGCCAGCTCTCAGGCCGCGACCGGCGCGGAGGCAGCCGGCACAGGGCGCCGCCATCCCGGCTCTGAAAAGGCTTTTATTACCCGCTGACAGTGAAAACGTACCAACTTTAATCTCGTTGGGGTCGAATTTAGGAGGCATGTTGCTGCTGCGGAGGTTGAGCTCAGTTCAGCTGGTTGGTGAGGGTGTCGGATGAACCCGGGCTCGGGACGACCGATTACTGTTGCACCTTCACCGCTAACGGGGAAAGAAAGGCCGAGAGAAGGCCGCGGAGGCTTTTATAGGGCCGCCAAGTCCCGCGAGAAGTCACGGTTCCGCTCTAGTGACGTAACGTCGAATATACCATAGACTGTATACAGTCTATGGAGTATATTGTATACAGTCTATGAAGTATACTGGGTGGGTCTGATTCATATTCAGTTTTATTTCAGTAAATACAATCATATTTTAAAATATATAATATATGTATATACAAATATACAACTTTAGCTTGTAAATAAATAAAAACAAAACAGACAGCAACAGCAAAAAAAAAAAGTAAAGAATTCAACAAACAAGTTCCATACAGGTTTATAAAAAAATATTTATCGAGTTGATAAATTTAAAAGCAACAAAAATGAACATAAATGAAGTTAAGATATCAGCAGTGGATGTTTTATTTATTTTTAGCCCATAAATGAATGAAAATCATGTTTTTAAAGCTCTCATGGGCGGGTGGATGGCATTCAGGGTTTACATGACAAAATTATTATTATATTTTTATTTATTTTAGCCAGTTAATACAATAAAAAAACAGGCAACAGCAGCAAACACTAAAAAAATCAAATTCATCAAACATGTTTAATAGAGGTTTACAGATGTTTTACTTATTTAAGGCAGAGTTCTGATTTACAGTAGAAATGATTTAGGTCCAAATACAGAGCAGCAAACCTGAAGCAGCCTCGTTGAAATGTGCGCTATCAGTGTTTTACAGTCACAATAGAAGCTGTGAGTCACAGAACTGAACCGCCGTACATTAGCCGAGTGTTTAATGGATTCTGGTGCTGATGTTCTGACCCGGTGGCTGAACCCAGTCGAGGCCAGAGTGCTGCACGTGGGCGCTGAGTGGACGGCGAGGAGCTGCCGTCAGCACCGCCCTGAGACCCGTCAGGTGTTGGGCGGCCGGGCTTCCAGGTTGCTGCCGGCTGTGTGATGTGGAAGCAGCGCTCCGATTCCTGCAGGACTTTTTGACTCAGAGCTGCTCGGACAGGAATAGCAGCAGAACACAAGAGGGAGTAAGTGGGTGAGAAGCAGAGATCATCACTGTGGTGCTGCTTAATATGCATCATGAAAATCTGTGAACACGGTCACAAAATCAGCTCCACGGAGGGAAACGTCCGTGTTTTCAGACCTTCAGCTGTCACCCCCACAGAATCCACCTGATGTCAGGCTGCTTCACAGTGAGCATGTCTGATTGTTTTGAAGCATCTGTCCAACTGAACAGCTACATACGAAGTTTCTCTCTGTTTTGTGTTTTATCTCACAGTTTTCACTTCATCTGGTTCCTCTGAGGTGCAGTGAGAATGAGGTACACAGGCCGATGAATCAGAACCGCTGGTATCAGAGCATCAGGGCTGCTGGTATCTAAGTGAGACTCAGTATGAAGGATGGACTGTGGAGCTGTCAGCCTTCGTCCAGCTCAGTGTGATGAATGATGCAGGCTGAGCCGAATGCCTCTGACCGCTGGTTTCAGGTTTAGCTGCTGCTGAACGGGTCGGCCGCCGCTGCTCAGTAACATGAAAACTGGTTCAGTGAAGTCATGAAGGAGTCCAGTTTCACCCTGAAGCATCTTTACCATCCTCT